GAACAACAACCCGGAGCAGGCTTACAACCAGGAACAGGATACCAACCTGGAGGAGGTTATCAACCAGGAGCTGAACAACAACCCGGAGCAGGGTTACAACCAGGTACAGGATATCAACCAGGAGCAGTTTATCAACCAGGGGCAGGTTTGCAGCAAGGTGCAGGATTAGCTTATCAACCGGACGCTGGTCTACAACAAGAAGTAGGTTATCGACCTGGTTCTGGTTATCAACCAAGTGGAGGATTACAAACTGGTACAGGTTATCAACCAAGCGGCGGACTTCAACCAAGTTCAGGTTTACAACCCGGCATTGGTTCACAATTGGGAGGAGATCAACAACAGGGCGGAAGTTATGGTCCAATATTAAGAGGACCTGATGCTGCTCAACCAGGAAGCAGTCTGCAACCTGGTGGAGGTTATAGACCAGGAACTGGTATTATTTACGGACCAGGTGTTGCTCAGCCAGTAGGTGCTGGTCCAGCGGGAACATACCCCGCTGTTCCACTAACGTATGGAAAAGTTGGCGGGGATGGTTCTGGTGTGCAACAAGGTGATATCTATGGGCCAGGCACATTACCTGGTAGTGGAACATTTGGACCTCTTGGAGTTCCAGGAACTGGACCTGCTGGTGTCGGTGGAATCGGTGGCGTTGGTGTCCTCCCAGGTGGTGTTTCCGTAGGACCAAGCGCCTTAGCATATCCTGGAGCTGCCGTCCCTGGCGCGGGAGCTTTGGGTGAGTATAAGGAAGAAGGTAAATATTTAATCAAACGTATGTTAAAAGCAATTAAAAAAAACTACAATATCAAAAAATATTAAATTTAAGGACCTGGCAACTTAATAACAGCAAGTGGCGCAGGAGGAACCGATGATGCATTCTCCCAAGCTGAATCCTCCATCAGTGAAGGGCAAGCAGCTGCTAGTGCACAAGGCAAAAAGAATGGCGGCACTGCCAAAACTCAGGTATCAGGAACATATAGTTCCACTGGAACATTCAGTGCCAGCGCTTCAACTTCTGACAGCGATCGCTCAGCCAATGCCCAAGTGAGTGGAAATAGTGATGGAGCAATAAGTCAGTCTCAAGGACAAGGTGGCGCAGCACAGTCGCAAGCTCAGGTTCAAGTCAACTCCAAAGATGGAGGCACTAAAGCATCCTCACAAAGCGGAGGTGTAATCCATCAAAGTCAAAGCGAGGTATGTGAAATATTTGGAAAAATAAACAACTTCTTTGACAATGATACATTTACTTTCTCATTAAATTCCTTATAAACGAAAAGGTACAAGCTAACGATAAGGGAGGCTTGGCTGATTCACAGTCCAGCGGACCTGGCCAAACGTCATCCCAGGCACAAATTGGTTTCCGACCCAATCAAGATGGTAGTGCACCACCAACAACGGGAGGTGGCCAAGCATCCGCTCAATCTGGTAGCCACTCAGGACAGAGTCAATCGCAGATCCAAGGCACATCCAAGTAACTTCGTTTTACAAATATACATACATATATTGTAAATAAAGTTGAAATAACTAATTTCAGATTCGGTGTTTCATATCACGGTGCAGCGCAATCCGCATCTGGAACTAAAGAACAAGTTGCAAGCTACCGCGAACAAAATCGTGAACTATTCCACAGTATAAGCCAGTTTGGAAATAGTGATGCGTAAGTTAATGCCCCTTTCCAGACACACATAACCTAACCAAAGTAAAAACAACTATTTCTAGTGTAACTGATCGTGTAGACACCGTATATAGTGGACCTAGCGGAACAGCATTGACAGCTGACGGCAACGCTTTACCAGATCTTGAGTTGAAGTCTTCGAAGAGTGTTAAAGAAAGTAGGTTACACCAAAATTTTGACAAACATATTTTCAATCTGGCATATACATGATCTTCTGTACACATTTTGACGCAAAGCATTGAGCACCTTTATTTGAGTGTGTGATCCAGAAACAAGAAAGAGATTGCCAATTATTGTAATTAAGCAAGCCCATCAAGGTATTGATTTAGGTAGAAATCTGATATGTTCGGGTTTGAACAGTAGTTTTAAACCTATTTTTAAAAGGTAGTTAATCTTTTAAGAACAATATTTTTACAGACTGGGGATAGATCGGACTTTAGTCGTATGAAAACTGTTTTATATTTGAAGAATATTGAGGAATACCAAATAGTTGTTTTTGTCGAATCTCCACACGTTCAGATTTTTCATAAATGTATGTTCAAACCATTTTCTTTTAGTCGTGAACGCCAACAAGGTTACGGACGAAGATTCCACTTTAAACGAAGATGAAGAAGAGGAACCTTACGATGAATACGATGATGAAGATGAATACTATAATGAAAATTCAAAGTTGGATAGTCAAACCGGTAACAAACCCGAATCCCAATCACATTATCGCACATATACACAAAATTCACCGACTCAGAGTCAACAGGCTGCCGTACCCAATTCGCCTGATAAATATCTGTTAGTACAAAATCAAAATGGACGTGTACAGAAATATCCCTTCCGATCGACCACAGAAATGGTGCCACGTGGCTTCCGCGGCACCGTTAACGTGGAGAAAAAATTCCACACCAAGGCAGTGAAATCTCAACCCACGGATAATGATCTAGATAGTGCTGAAGAGCAGGCGACACCCACGAAACACCGTACACCGGACAGTTATGTGACCGTGACCAAATCGATTACTGGCAGTATGGATAATACCAAGAATCCACCACAGGAAAATAAGAATTTCCAATCAACTTACTACACTAAGTCATCGACTTGTGGCTACTTCACATTTTCGTGCAACATAGTATACGGTGCAAATGGTCGCAGTAAAATCTGCCGGCCGAAGGCACCAGCCAATGGAAAATGTTAGATTTTTACATAATAATCGATCATTTTTCGTACCAATAATAACTTAGTTGTTAAAATAAGCTGTAGCCTAACTCGAATGTATTCTTAAATTCCTAACAAAATGTAACATTTAAACTTATTTAAGTCGGATTAATTGTTTGCCACACAATTAAAGCATTAAAAGGGCGCCTTGAGCACACGTCTCAAGTCCCCAATGTCGTAACTAATAGTATATTTTGCATACTTACTAATTATAATACACTGCCACAGAAAGACCCGATAAATAGAAATGCTAAAATGCTAAAATGCTTATTGATATTTTTTTAATAAATGTAATTGTTATTTTTTAACACAGAGCTCTTGTTTTAATAGTAAACCTGAAAAGATAGAGCGATATGTTTATTGTCATTATCGGTACTATCTACAGTAGCTGTGTCCTGCTACACCTGGTTTTTTCCAACGGGGGTGAAGTCTTCCTCTTTCTCGTATATCTCGTAAAGATCATCGTTCCATCGATTTCGGTATTAACTCGTAACGCCGACTCACCAGATGTTGTCACCGTTCATGCCTCTGCACCATATATTAGGACAGGATTATGAGTGACTAATAGATGTTAGAAGAATTTACAATACTTTTCAATTGAATACTCAGTTCAACAAGGCAGTTCAATGCTGATGTTGTTTTTGGTGTTAATGCTGGTTCTAAAATAGACGAAATTGTCTACGACTTCGAAGTTATGACTGCCAACAGCAACGTGGGCGCAAAAACGCGTATGCGATGATTGTTAGTTTGATAACAGGGGATATTTCGTCTTGCCCTCGTTCACTGCCAGACCCATTTGTGTTGCTTCCTTGTCCAGTCTGGAGTAAGCAGAACTAACGGCGCTGTTATTGAGACTAATGATATTAATATCATCGGCGTACACCAGCAGTTGTACACTCTTATACCTTCTCTGACGGGGCTTTTGGTATTGCTCAACGTCAGTTTACATAGTCGTATTCGTTTTGGAGGGGATACCAAATTCAGACATAGCGGCATAAAGGCAAACGAAGAGATAATATGTGTCGATCCTTTTTTCACGGGTCGTATCCAAGATTTGACGCATGGTGAATATCTGGTCAGTTATTGATTTTCGCCTAAAGCCACACCATCTTAGGTGCAATCACTTTGTTGACAATTGTTTGGCGGTTTGTGGGGTTCTTCGGTTTTGTGGATTGGGCAGAGCACACTTAAACTCCAATCGTTGACCAGCAATCCATCGCCTCCCGCCGCTTTGTTGATCTTCAGACATACAATTGCTATTCGAATTTCTTCATGGTCGGGCAATGGAACGTCTGCTACATCGTCATCGATTGGGTAATCGGTTCCTGGTATTGAGCTTTCATTGCCATTCAGCAATTTGGTTGTTCCCTCTATAAGATCAGTACGCTCTAGATTTAAATGGCTTGAAATAAGCTGCAAAGTATAAAATACAAGTAATGCATAACGCTTTCCTTTCATTGGCAAATGCATTTTTCCGTAAGAGAAGAAGTCGCACGGTGCCATATCAAGTGAATACGATACGTGGTTAATGGTTAAAATGTGACTATTGGTCAGTCAATTTGTGCGGAACAAACCGTAAGCCCAAATGTTCGGTCAAAACGCGATAAATCGATGGTTTGGAGATGTTCCATTTCATTTCCATGACCTTCAATGACGATTTCGGATTTTTGATAAATTCACGCACAGTTTCGATGGAATTTCCGGTGATCATAGATTTTGATTGGCCCAAATGTTGATCGTCATTTATGTCTTCACAACCACATTGAAAACGTTGAAACCACTCTTGCACTCTGCTACGGGATAGGCAATCATCGCCCTACACTTGCTGCATCAATTGAAACGTTCTGGTAAAAGTTGTGAAAATTTTAAAACAAAATTTAATGTTGGCTCTTTGTTCGAAGCTCATTTTCGCACCGATAACACAAACATACCGACACTTAAAACGCAATAATCTCACTTCCAATCAATGAAATGTAATGAAATTCTGACTAGACAATCGATAAAAATACCAAATTATAACGCACCAGTCGACATATAGATGGCGCCACCAGCGGTCGCTAGATTTAAAAAGTTCTGTTTACCTTGGAAAACTCTTTGTATGTAGTATAATTCGGCTAGACTAAATCTTGAGTCGCTCAAAACGGTTGTACACTTAACTTAGACAAGTTTGGTTACACTAGCTGGCCTAGACCTACAGGTCATTTCTAATGGCAGATGGGGGTTAATTATTGTTCGACAACTCTTGGTTTTTGGATACCGCTAATGCATTGATTTTTCATGAGTTTTTTTTTTTGCCAAACTTTTAACCATTATCGTGCCATAACCACTGTGTTCGCTGATTGAGCTCTGTGTGACTTCTGGCTATTCAGCAAACTGAAGCGACCGCTTCGGGCGAACCGTTTTGAGTCAATTGAAGGCATAAAACGTGAATTACTATACACATTAAAGACTATTCCGGAAACTAGCCTTAACAACTGTTTCGAAGATTGGAAAAAAACGTTGGCACAAGTGTATTTGGGGGAAGATAACATAAATTTTGAAGAATCAATTAAGAATTTTAAAATGATGAACAAAGTCTTACTAATTTGTGCGTATTGTAGTATAGCGATTTATTTAACAATCCAGTGATCGAGCTCAGGAGTGAGTGCGCAATATACATTGTATCAAAAAAGCACCCGGAAACTGTAATTAAATTCCCCAGGAAAACGATATTTCAAAAAACTGTATTCAGCTAAGTTAGTAGGACTGTTCTTAATTACTACTTGTATACCGTGATCTGTCAACCAGTTAGTTTAGAGCAGCTGCTTAAGTCGGAACACCTCTTCGAAAATATTCAAAAGGTGAACGATATGGTGTTTGAAAATTGTCAGGGAAGTAGTTGAGAGACGGCAAGAGAACCGGTCTCTCTCGCAAGTCCGCTCGAAAGATTTTGGTGAATTCTTGCTCAACCAATACGGAACTGATAAAACTGATTTTTTTTTTCATAAAGAGTACGATTCTGACCGCATTTAAAGCCAAAAACGCAGTGTATACCATCAATCCGCCACCAGATTAGGCTTTGTGTTATTTTTTCTTGTTCTCTTAACTAAAATTGGCGCTGCGTGAAACCCATTTCAAGTCGATGGAAGAGATAAACCATATTTCACTGATGGAGCTGAAGGCCATCACAAAGAGTGCTTATTAAAAGGGTTTCGAGGACTGAAGAAATCGGTAACATAAGTGTATTATAATCGCCGTAAGCTCCTTGCAACAAGTAAAACACATTTTTTGCTTATAATAATTTGTTTCGTTTTTTTTTTGTTTTTTTCAATTTATTTTGCTTGCAATAAATCTTTTTTGCGTATTAGGGTTTCAATTTCACATTTATGCTTTTATTTTTTCATTTTCTTATTTGTTTTGCTTGTTTTTTTATTTTGCATTTTTTGCAGTTATCTGAATCCATCATTTTGTTTTGTATAACTGACAATTATTTTTTTCATTTTGAGTTGCATTTTTTCGCCATTACAGTTAGTAAAGTTAATTTCTTTTCCATACATACAAATGACACATTTAAATTTCCCGTTAAATTATTTAGTTATTTTACTTGCTTTGTAGTAGTAACCACTACTAGTTATATAATTACATGTTTTATAAATTTTATTGAATAATAAATTTCGAAAATTACTGTGTTGCTGTTGAGTTGCGTTGCGATTTTCAACGAAACTCTATTATACAAGTAACGTTTGTTTGCTGCACTTTTACTCAATTTTTTCTTTTTTTGTTGTAGCAATTTTATTTTTAAATTTTATACGAGGACTTTAAAGTGTAAAGACACTAAATTTCACAAAATTTTTAATTTGCATTGTAGCAAGTTTTGCTTAGTACTGTACATTTTTGTTTATTCTGTCCATTTGCTACAATGTGTTTGATGTTTAATCCTTGTGTTTGCTTTGTAATGCTTTTTAATGTTTATTTAAAAGAGTTTTGCCGCCAAAGTCGATTGAACAGCAGCGAAAAGTCTTTTGCGGTTTCTACCATATTTTTATATTCTATTGTTTTTGTATTTTTGTTATTGTGACTTTTGTTGCTGCCGTTGCATTTTATGACCGCCTTGCATTACAAATATTTAGTAAAAATCGGAATTTGCAATTATTTTTCATAGTTTGTTGTTGTTTTATCAATCACGTTATTCATATAGTATATATATTTTTCATACTATTATGAATGCTAAAAATTTGTAGAGTAAATTAGAATTATTTAGAAATCGTGTAGTTCGCTATTAATAAATTTTAAGTGTTTTGTTTTTGCATTTTAACTTTTGTTATGTTATTTAATACAAAAGTGCTTTACTCGCTTGCTACTTTTATGCAATATACTAAATGGTATATATGTATGTATATATGTTATCATATGAACAGCCATAAAGTTAAATTTATTTGTGTTTTAATATCATTTTATTTTTATGTTCACAAATGTTGATTTCAAACTCTTCAATAATATTTTAAGTGTTTTATAAATTTTAAGACACGCACACAAATACGTTTATATGTATGTGACATGATGTATTCAAAAAAGACAATTAGAAAAACGTTATTAAATTTTTAGACACATTAGCGTATTGTATGTATGTAAATTTTGTTGAATGCGTTATGAATTTTTATCAGATGCATGAAATCGGTAAGAAGGGTAACCATCCGTTTAAGAATCAATTCCATACAAACTTTTGTAAATATATACAAATATGTACAGCGGTTCATATTTTAATTAATTCGCCATGGCACAACTTAATAACTTATTTATTTAAATAGAATGAATAGAAATATTGAAGATTACTTTTACTTTTTGTTTTTGAGTTTCCAATATAATATCGGACAGTTTAAAATAAAAACAATTTTCGTCTGAAAAAAAAAAGGTTTTCTTTAACGCTTCTTTCAATCGTGGAACTCGATTATGGGGTTAGCCCATATTACTTTCAATGATTTTTGTATATTTTGCTAAACAAAGGATTTTTGAGGAACGCTTTATTTTGGAAACCAGTTAGTGGAAGAAACTTTTAGAGGTGTTTTTAGAGTATGTTTGGAGGGATTGAAGACGTGCTTTGTTTAGCATTTTTTTTAGTATCCGATATTATTTCGGATAGGTTAAAACAAAAAAATTAAACTTTGTGGAATGAATGAAAATGGAAAATTTTAAATTGGAAGTGATGTGTTCGAAAAATAACGCGAATTTTCCTTTGAAAAAAATTTATATCCCCATATCCATTAATTTAGCCAACGCTTCCTCCAATCGTCGAAACACTTCTTAAACTCGATTTTGGGGTTAGGCCCTTACAT